GAGGACCTGCCACGTCCTTTCTCTCCGAACGCCGCCGCAAGGGGTCAACGTCGACGTCGTCCTTAACCAGGCCAAGGTCATCATCATCGTCGCTGTCGTCGCATAATTCGCAGAGTGGGGCCACGCCGAAGGGCCGCACAGCGACCATGAGGCCGTTGTCGGGCTGAATGGCCACGGCGTCGCGGCGAGGGTCAGAGACGGTGTTGCTGTGTCCCAAATGGTGGCTGGACGGGCCAATGATCACGACGCTGTCGCCTCGGGTGTAACGCTCGTCATAGAACGCTTCACGCTCGACGCTTAATTGCTCTGCCTTGCGATCGGTACGTATAACGGCAGGAAGTAGGAACGCCCGAACGTTATCAACGCACTCGAGGTTGTAAGCCCAGATGGCGAAGATGGCCTCGTAGAGGCGAAGGTATACACGGGTTGTGTCGTCGGATAGTTTTTTCCGGCGGCGACAACGCCGTCGACACCGACGCCGACGACGTGCTTCGTGGTTGACCTGCTCGTGCGTCGTCGTGTGTCTGCACGGGCAACTTCGTCGTCGTGGGGCTGGCCGTGCTGAGTCGAGGGTCGGTTGGGGAAACTTCGTAGGTTTGCTTGTGCTGTGTGGTGTGGTCACCAGACGGTCAACGCAGTGTCGTGGGACTACCCGTGGTGGGTCGGCGTAGGTCTGCTCGTCGCAGTAGGACTCGGCAGTGGCACTGTGAGGAAACGCCCTTTGAGGTCGGACTGTGGAGTCGGCCTGCTGTGCGAAATTGGAACAGTGCGTGCGACTGATGTCAAGCACGCCTGTGGCCGCTTGGGGCGTGGCATGGATGGCATCGTGTCCGGAGCCTGCGCTCTCTAGAGTCGGACTGGAGTCGGACTGCTGTGGAGTCGGACTACTGCGGGAGACTGATGTGGAGTCGGTCTGCTGTGGAGTCAGCCTGGGCAGTCGCCCGGGTGAGTCAGCCGGATGTGGGGGCGGACTGTGGAGTCGAGCTGCCGTGGATTCAGACTGTGTGGTCGGAGTGCAGTGAGGTCGGGGTGTTTGCTCACTGCGTAGGAGAGTGGCGTCAGACTGTGGTGGCGCCGGCCTGGTGTGGCCAAAGCGGCTGGTCGCGCGATTGGTGTCAGTGCGCCAGCTGCGTGGCCAACGAGCGTGGCGGTAGGGTGGCGCCGTGCGCGGACGTCCATCGTCGCATACTCCGCCTTGGGATTGCTCGTGCAGCCTCGCCGGGGGCCGGCGCGGGCATGGTCGTGAGAGGGCGAGGGGGTCCTACGGGAGTGGTCTGCGGAGTCGTCTTGGGCGGTCGCCGCGGAGGGTCCAGCAGGAGGGTCGACCGGGACACCAGCGGACGGTGAGGCGCTGCTGCTGGCGTCGGTGTCGTGGTGGTCGTGGTCGTCTCCGCTTCCTCCCTCGCCCTTATCCGCCTCCTCTGGTAAGCTGCAAGGCTGGGCGAGATAGGGGAGGAGAAGGTTGGGTGGCCTTGGGCTGGTGCCGCCAGAGCAGTGCGCGTGCCGAGGGACGGTACCTCTGGGCATGGCGCGTGGGGATACACATCTAGGCTGGTAGGGAGCAAACGGGTGGCATCGCTAGGGCAGAGCGTGACGGTCCAATGTCCTGGTTAGTTACTTGATTTGCATTCGACAAATGCACACACGCCGTCGATAGGGTGTCGCACCTGGCCTTGAACGGTGACCTCTGTGCCAACTTGGATCCTCGGCGGCACCCGCATGGACAAGCGACGGTTGGCAGCTCGGGCATGGCCAACGGTGGCGCAGTGGTGGCCGAGGTAGCATGCGAGATGCCACCGTGGTTTGCAGGCCTGGTTGTACTGTGCGGTGCCGTCTGGATTATCGTCGGAGCCCGCGCTGGCGCGCGCGGGGGCGCGAGGGTCCGCGTCCTCGCGCTGCGGAGCCGCCGAAGTCCCAGGTGCCCGTTCACTGCTGACGTCGTCGTCGCCGTCGTCGTCGTCGTCGTGATCAGCGCCGCCTCCTCTTCCGTCCGCGCCCTGTCCGCGCAACCGAGCCCCGGAGGGGCGGCTAGGTGAGGGGGGGGGGTCTGGGGGGGAGGCCTTGCAGCGCTGCCTCGACGTTCGCCTGCGCTGGCAGCATCGCGGGGTTTCTCTGGCCACAGGAGGGGCTCCCAGACGTGGGACTGTTGTCGACCACGCCTGGAGTCGCGTCCTCGGCCCCCGTGGCGTCGTGCCGGGTCGAGTGGTGGAGTCGGGCGGTAGCAGCCAGCGTCGGCGCGAAGGTGTCGTCACGAGGGGGGCGTTGCGGAGCGCGGCCAGAACGACCGATAGGAGGGCCATGAACATGACCACCGCGATCGGCGGCTGGGACGAGGCAGGCGTCGGTGCTGGCGCCTGAGTCGTCGCTAGCGTAGGCGCTGGGGTTGGTACCAGCGTAGGCGCAGGCGTCGCTGCTGGCATTGACATTGCTGGCGTCGGTGCTGGCAACGGTGCTGGCGTCGGTGCTGGCGTAGTCGCTGGCGTTGGTGCTGTCGTAGGCGCAGGCATCGGTGCTATCGCTGTCATTGCTGGCGCAAGTACTGGTGTGGGTACTGGCGTCGTTTCTGGCGTCGGCGTTGGCGTAGGCACCGGCGGTGGTGCCGGCGTAGGCGCCGTCGTCGGTGCTGGCGCCGTCAGTACTAGCGTCGGTACTGTCGTCGATGCTGGCGTCTGTGCTCGGCGTAGGCGCAGGCATCGGTGCATGTGCCGTCAGTAATGGCGTCAGTGCTGACGTCGGTGCCGGCGTCGATGCCGACGTCGGTGCTAGAGTAGGCGCTAGCGTTGGTGTCGGCGGGGTCGCAGGCGTCTTTGCTGGTGCCGTCGGTGCTGGCGTCGGTGCTGGCGTCGGTACGGGCGTCGGTGCTGGCGTGCGTGCTGGCGTTGGTGCTGGCGTGGGCGCAGGCGTCAATATTGGCGCCGTCGACGCTGGCGTCGGTATGGGCGTTGGTGCCGGCGTTGGCGCCAGCGTAGGCGCGGGCCTCGGTGTTGCCGTCGTCAGTGCCGGCCTCAGTGTTGTCGTCGGTGCTGGCGTCGGTGCTGGCTGCGCTCCGGCGTCGGTGCTGTCGTCGCTGCTGTCGTCGGTGCTGGCGTCGGTGCTGTCGTCGGTGCTGACGTAGGCGCTGGTGTTGGTGCCGGCGTAGACGCACGCGTCGGTGCTGGCGGTGTCCGTGCTGGCGTCAGTGCTGGTGTCGGTGCTAGCGTGGGTGCAGCCAGGGGAGCAGTCGGTGCTTGCGACGGCGCGGACGTCAGGGCGGACGTCAGTGCTGTGTCCTGGTGCTGGTCGCGGTGACGGTGCTCGGCGTGGTCACCAGAGGCCGCCGCAGCTGGTCGTGCGACTGAGATCGGCACGCCTGCTGCAACACTTCTCGACGCACGCGAGTGCGCAGCGAAGGGAGGAGCAGCCCGAAAATGACAAAGACGACGAGCCTTTTGGTCCGATTCGGGGGGGCCAGTCCCGCCGTGACCTCGACGGCCCGTTTGAGAGGGCGAGTCTCGCCGCGCCTATGGAGCCGCGAATTTTGCCGTCGTCCCCCGTCGCTGCTGGAGATCGCGCCGACGGCGCCGAGGGCGGTGCTGAAGGGGTTGATGCGGAGTCGGCGTCACCCCAACATACTTATCCAGGGCCGACGCGCGCACCGAGAAATCTTATGGTATATGCGTCTTGGCGGGCGGTTTCTGGCTACGCCGCTCGGGAAACAGATATGCTACAAGATGGGTATGCTATATTTTCGGGTCGGATTCGCGCCTCCAAGGAGAACATATAGTACTGGTATGTCTTCGTGCGTCCCATGGAGAGCCCGGCTGGCCGTCGCAACGGCGTGGCGGCCCAGAGCACGGGCAGGAGCGAGTCCGCGCCCGAGGCGCGGGAGAGGCCCGCCATGGGCCCGAAGACCACGCCCACGATGCCCGGGGCGCCGCGGAGGTACTGCAGTTGGGGTCGGGGGCCCAGCTGGCCGCCAAAGCAGCGAAGCGGCCTCAATCACGGGCGTGCTGTGCATCACGTAGGTCTTGCAAGTCAGTGCGGTGGTGCCGTGGACTGCGGATGTCTGCACGCATCTCCGCTCGAAAAACACGGCGCCTGAGCCGGAGGTGCGGGGGGGCATTGCCCGGGGGGGTTGCTCTCTTCAACGCTCCCCGAGCATCGGCCAGGGGCGTTGCTCGGGGGGGGGGCTCTGCCGCGGTCGATCGCCCAGCGACTGCCGCCCCTGCGCGGATCGCCCCCGCCAGAGCTCCCCGAAATGGGGGGGTTTAGGCGGGGGCTTTTCCGTCTAGGATGGGCACGTGGAGGATGTAGTGGTCGTGGCGGCAGTCCGTGAGCGCAAACGTCGTTCTGGAAGCGCAGGTTGCCAAGGCAGTACTCGTTGGTGAAACGTGTCGCTGCGCGAGTGGCTGGCGCGTTTCGCCATGGCGGTGCGGCCGTGAACATGTAAGGAACGAGAAGATGGCGCCAGTTTGCGCCGCGCTAGGTGGCGCGGTTCCGGTCTCGCGACGCCGGGGGGGCGGGGCTCCAGCGGGGGCGGGGCGCTTGGCTTCAGGGCTCGTTAGGAGTGAAAACTGTCGAGACGAACCGAGGGGCAGAGAGAGAGATAGAGTGATGTATATATATATATATAGAGAGAGAGAGAGAGAGGGAGAGAGAGAGAGAGAGAGAAACATCAAACAACAAACGCGCAAGAGACGCGGGAGGGCGAGAGAGGGGGAGGGGGATATTGACGCGCGATGACGACGACCGCTCGAGCCACCTTCCTGACGCCCGCGGTCTTCAACCCGTTCAGCTTACGGGCACGCGCGGCGAGGAGGTCGGCGCAGAATTACGCCAGCTCCACATCGTCGGCTGCCCAGGCGCGAAGATCCCAAAGCACCCCCAAAGCCCGCGCCACGCGCAGAACTACATGAACCATATCGCCATCCACTTCGGCTGCGGCAAGCACAGCATCCACGTCAACAACTCGGCAGGCTGCGCGATCCTTTTGAACAGCCCCCGCTTCAAGACGCGTCACATCAAGGACATCAGCGCCCCACCCCCCGAACTACAAGGCCGCGGAGGCACCGTCGTCATCGACCAGGGTGCCACCCAGCTGACGATCGTCACTGCCTGCTCACTTCCGATGCCATGGGACAGGAAAAAGGTACCACAATGGAGGACCACTATGACGAAGGTGGCCACGTGGGTACGCTTTGAGATTCTCGCCGCGCCTTCCCGCTACACCCCGATCTTGATGATGGACCTGAACGACCGCTCCACCAAGGGCCCCGATGGCAACGGAACGGTAGGCGAGATACCGACAGGCAAGATCTACCACCACATGTGCGTGACCACCCACGTGGAAGTTGCCAACACGTACTGCGACACGGGCCCGACGCATGACGGCAATCACCCCATCGGTGACGGACGACATCTTTCTCCCCACGGGTTTGGTCTCGCGCATCCAGCAGTGCCGAGTATGGAATCGCGCGGCACGCGCGCTTCAGCTTTCACGTCGTTTCAAGGACCACAAGCCGTTGATTATCAAGCTGGAGGTGCCGCCCGTGTGCTACAACATTGGTAATAACTACCAGCACCTGGACCGTGGCGCCATCGCGATGGGCCTCAAGGAGGGCTTTTTGGAGAGCCTCGAGACCCAGCTCACCGCCCACCACGCCCAGCTCGAGGAGTACCTCGCCGACCCCGACGGCACGCACCGCTGGGGCCTCACCACGCAGTTCTTCCGCCTCGCCACTCTCGAGCACTTCTCGGCCAACGCGCGCCGCCCAGACTGGTATCGAGAAGCACGCGACCACAAACTACAGCTCTTGCGACAACGCGCGCTCTTGCGACAACGACTTCACGCTGCTAAGGACGCCCACGTTCACGAGACGCAACTACAAGAGCTCGGCGACACGATCGCAGACATCAGCAAGAGGCTCCGCCGCCACATGAAGGACACCAATCACAAGTACCAGGAGATGCAGAGTGACGACTTGTGGCAGGCTTGGCGTGAATGACGTTCCGCAGAGTGCCATCGCAGCACCACGATCATGCCTCGCTACAAACTACGAGCTCGCAAGCGCTACTACGGCATCCTTCCCAGCTCCCGACCCAGCATGGACCAGTTGCAGCAGTTTCTTGAACGACCAGGCGCTAAAGGAGGCCTCCTCGCAGTGCCTCCCCCAGTCCATGCGCCTCCTCGCGAGGAGCTTGTGCCGCCATGGCCCGCAGGTCAACCGGGTGCTTCAGAAGACCAACAATATGTGCCTGCGACGATTCCGACCACCACTACACCCGCGCCTACTCCCATTACGCCGACGCCGCTCCCGCCAGATGGGCGAGCCCCAGGTGCAGCCCTCACCTCGCCGCGACACCTACGACTGCGATGCCTACCAGGTGCAGGGCCTCAGCTGCGACGGGACTTAGTGCGCTCGAGGGGGCTCCGGCCCGTCCGCCTATCCATTTTCGCAACATGATCTAAGCGCTTTAAGAACGCGTCGGCTTGCGCCCCCCCCCCCCCCCGCCACGTCGCCAACAGCGCGAAGCGCATGGGCAATGCCGAAGCTGATTTCGATGACATGGTAGACCAGGAATTCGACGACATGGCGAACCAAGCGAGCAGTGCAAATCACAACCATCTTGGAGCTCTAGGACCACCACCTCCTCCACCGCCATCGAGCCAACCAGCGGCGACCAGCCAGCCACCACCAGCGGCGACCACCTCGAGCACAGGTCAGAACTTGCAGCTCAATTTTGTGATCGAGGCGTTTGGCGAGCTGGGCGCGGTCACCAAACTGGTCGGCGAAGCGAAGCGGGGGAAGTATGCGCCCCCCTGCTCGGTCCCAGCGGAGATCTTATTCATGGCGCAGCAACCTGAGATACTACCACGACCAGGACGACCACGGGGCGGCATCGATGCCATCGACGCCCCTGGCGGCGAGGGGGACCCATCCAAGCGGAAGCTTCAACTACCTCGACAGCATCGACGGGGTAGGTCCCGACTTCTTGCTTGCCTCGCCCACGCGCGTCGACATCAACGAGTACCTGTGCAGGCCAACGCCTCCCAGAGCTTCCAGCTCGACAAGGAGAAAGCGATCTTGGGCCCCGTCGGCCTCCGCCTCATCCACTGCTTCGACGTGTTCTGGAGATGCTTCTGTCGGTGTCTACGCGACCGAGGCTTCCCTACGCGTTCACCCGACTACGCCTGCGGCGGCATCTTTCAGCGACGACGGGAGTTCGGCATGCTCGTGACGACCGTCGTCGACAGCAAAAATCGCATGTGCAGCTCGCTCCCACGACGGACGCAACGCCTTCGGATGCACGAACCACGACGCGATTTGCGACCACGTGCTCCCCGCCTTTCCAGCTGACGACCGCGTTCCCGTTCGACAACGCCGAGCCGAATCTCAGGCCATCATCGAGGCTAGCGACGGCGCGCTCATCATGAGGAACTGAGAAGGAGGCGTCATGGGATGCTCCAACGAGCCGGACGCCTTCATGAAGATCTACAACCACACCCAGGAGGAGTGGCGACAGGCGACCGCGCGCACCCACACCAGCATCATGCTCCAGTCGTGCGCCCCCTCCTGGGACCCCGAGGGCCCCGTGCAGGACTTGAGCCGCCAGGTGTTCGTCGACGACATCTTGAAGTTTCACGTCGCCCCTCGCGTGGGCCCTCGGCGACAGGCGATCGGCTCCAACGGCCTACTCCACGACGCCACAACTAACGAGGTCCAGGCGTTCACCGACGTCATCAACCGCGACCTCGAGGTACTTCATCGATCACTACGCCAGGGAGGGTTCGGCTTGAACGAGTCCCAGGGGGAGATCGTCCACGGCATCCCTTCAAAGACGCTGCATCGCGCCTTGTTCGCGGACTCCAGCATCGCCTGCAGGCGCCTGACCGCGATGGGGCAAGTCGGCGGCATGTTTGACGGCAAGGAATTGTTCAGTGGAGAACGCGAAGCACGCCTGCGAGCAGCCGGCGCAGGATGGTGCCAATATCATCACTTCTGTTTCAGCCGAGCCCCTCCACGATTGGAACGTCTCGTTTTCCACGCCATCGTGTACGAGGCGGCCGTCAGCGCCGCCGCTACCTACTACCTCTACGCCACCGACTACAAGAAGCTCGACATCTGCTTGGGCAAGAAGCTACGGGCCATGCTGCAGAGCAAAGGGTGCCAACGCAACCGCGACCGCTACAAGTCATTACCACTCGCTGCTATATGGAGAAGGTGTGACCTGGTTCCCACATCGATCGAGCCCAAAGTACGACGGCTTAAACTCCTTGAAGGTCAGCTGCCTGTCCCGACGAATCTCAACATCTCGTGTCTGCATTATTTGGCGAACGCCGACTGGAACACCTACTTCGAGAACATGATTTCCCCGTGGCGCCGCGCGCGCTCACCGACGATGGCTACATCAGCCCCGACGCTCACGCAATCGCCAGACAGCTCTCGACAGACCTGCAGGACCTCCTCACCGACGACGCCGCCGAGCCCCTGGAGCTGCTGAACTGGGCGGGCAACATCGTCGGGCTCTTCGCCGACGCGGAGGTAGCCGAGGCCTTCTGCGGGACCGACGTGGGCATCCTGAGGGCCTCATACCTTCGGCGCGCCATCGCGCCGCCTGGCGCCTCCTCCGAGCTCCCATTAGAACTCGCCCCTTCGGAAGAGACCGACATGTATGTTTGCTGGCTAAAATCGTAGACGGGGGCCCCCTGCATGAGGGTCTGGAAGTCAATGCGAGCATTGCGCGTGACCCAGCGGGGACTCGCGCTAGGCGGGGGACACGGTGCGCGCTGCATGCGTGCTCAGATCACGATTACGAACGAGTGCGTCATATGCAACCCGACCTTTCTCATCGCGCATGGGCGCGCATCACCGCGTCGCGGCAGCCTGGACAGCGCGCGTGCAGAACGGAACAGACTTGGGCCCCATATCCGATCGTCCTTCCCAAGAGCCTCGAGTGCCCCATCTGCAAGGATACCTTCGGCGAGCGCAGCGCACTTCGAGCACTTCTCCGTAGTCGCTTGCCCTTTGGAAGAGCTGCGCCTTCACGCGCTTTCGCTTTCTCGCCCGCGGCCTGGGGGCCCTGATGACGGCGACGGCGGCGCCTGCTGTCGAGGCGACGCTGCGGGCGCCCTGGCGCCACCCGCGGGCGCCCCCCCCCACGCACACGTCTGGGAACGGTGGCTCTAGCGGCGCCAGGGAAGGGAGATGGCGCAGCCAGGAGCGCCGTCGCAGGGCCCGCGCCACGGGCAGCCAGCTGGAGGGCGACATGTCCGAGGAGAAGCTCGACCCCAGGAAGGCCCCCATCGCTCGCGTGCGCCGCCGCAGGGGTGCAGCGTTCGCGGCGGAGGCAGAGCCCAGGATGTCCAACGAGATGAAGGACCTCATCATCGCGCTCACCCGAGCGACCTACCAGAACACGAAGCAGATCCGCGAGCTCAAGGCATGCATCATCACGACGACCAAGGTCAGCGACTCGGACCCTTTAGCCGAGGCGATCGAGTAGGATAACAAGAACTACGCGGAAGCTATCCGATCAGAAAGAGGATCGCACGGAGGCCCCCCCCCCCAGCGCCTGGTGCCGCCCTCGCCATGATGGGGTGCCTGGCCAGCCTCGACGTCGGCAGCAAGAGCAGGGAGCAGGTCAACCAGATGCCCGAGAAGCTCAACCAGATGGACGAGTACCAGGTGCAGGACGTGTTCCCGATGTGCAAGATCGAGAAGGCCTACAAGGGCGGCCAGGTGAAGATCCTCTTCAATTGCAGGGACTACGAGATCCGCCAGAGCATCATGCCGGCCTTGCACCACGCCCAGAAGACAACGTGCGTGGGCCCAGCCCCAGCGGGCTTCGTGGAGCACGAGCTCGCGTTGCGGCTCGACGCGATGGTGGATGACGTGTGAACGAGTTCGAGCAGATACTCGTCCCTGCTGCCGTTCGGCCCCCAGGCCCGCCACATGTCAGGGGACATCGTGCCGCGACTGCCGCTGGTGAGATGACCATCGGTGGCGAGTCCATGCGACGCCTGAAGTCGACCTCAGCTGCGACGGGACTTTGTACGCTCGAGGGGACTCTGCCCTCTCCGCCTACCCCTTCGCAACATGAGCTAAACGCTTTAAAACCTGTTGGCTTGCGTCCTCGGCTCCTGCTCGTGATAGGTATGAGAGGCCCAGTAGGACGGCATCTTCCACTCCTCCCCCCTCCCAGGATATCAGAGCACCCCTCCGCGCGGCTCGCGGCCCAGGACGAGGGGTCGGCAGATGTCGCGCCCGCGATCGGAGGTGAGCTGGGTTGTGGGCTCGCCGCTGTCGTGCCGAGCCGCTCACGACCACGTGTGCGGGGCTTTTTTTCAGGAAGACGCCCTATGATGTCGAGCGCCGTCTACTATCCTGTGCTACGCCACTCGTTTTTTGCTCTGAGGAACTTTGGACATTTTGGTGTTCTGAGTGGTTGGTGTAGAGGAGAAAGAGGGAGAGAGAGAGAGAGAGAGAGAGAGAGCGATAGAGAGAAAGAGAGAAGACGAGAAAGAGAGAGAGAGAGAGAGAGAACCAAACCAACAAAGACAGGGAGAGAGAGAGAGAGAGAGAACGAGAGAGATATGACGCGAGCGAGAAAGAGAGAGACAGAGAGAGAGAGAGAGACATTGAGAGAGAGAGAGAGAGAGAGAGAGAGAGAGAGCGAGAGACAGATAGAGACAGAGAGAGAGAGAGAGCGGGAGAAACCGTGCATGTATATACATAGAACTATATAGGGAGAGAGACATCCATACATACATACATATCTGGAGCCAGAGAGAGAGAGAGAGAGAGAGGGAGAGAGAGAGAGAGATAGAAAAAGAGAGAGAGAGAGGGGGAGAGAGAGATACAGAGAGAGAGAGAGAGAGAGAAAAAAAGAAGGAGAGAGAGAGAGAGAGAGAGAGACAGCGATCTAGAGAGAGAGAGAGAGAGAGAGAAAGAGAGAGAGAGAGAGTGAGAGAGAGAAAGAGTCAGAGACAGAGAGCGAGAGACAGAGAACAATAGAGAGAGAGAGAGAGAGGGAGAGAAAGAGAGAGAAAGAGAGAGAGAGAGAGAGAGAGACATAGAGAGAGAAAGAGAGAGAGAGAGAGAGAGAGAGAGAAAGAGAGAGAGAGAGAGAGAGAGAGAACGAGACAAGGCGAGCAAGAGAGAGCGAAAGACATATGTATATGTATATATTTATGTACGTACATAGCACAGAACGCGAGAGATGGGGGGGGGGGCGTGGGAGGGAAATGGAAGGAGAGGAGGGGGCCTTCCGCCCGCCCCCCCCCCCCCGCCCGCGGCCGCCGCGGCGGGGCGCCGTGGCAGGCCGCCGAGAAGGAGAGCGGCGAGCTCAGCCGCAGCCTGGCTGAGGAGGGCACCTCGACCCCTCTGTGTCTCAGCCTGGCATCGCTCGGACGTGTGCATTTGTTTCTCGGCGAGGACCCTGGAGGAGCATCCTGGATCATCTGGGGAAAAAAAAAAAACCATGCACGGAACAAACAAAAACACAGGGAATGGACGTCCGAGCGATGGCCAGTCAGGGGGGCTATGAGGTTCTAACCTATTCTAGCCCTGCCCACCAGAAAGAATTGTCGAGCACCAAGAAAGCCACCGAAAGTTGAGTGTTTGCACGTGTCGGGCCCTGGGAGGCACGCGTTCGACACCGCTTCGGCACCTGTTCGGTAGTTTTCTGGGTGCTCGAAGTTTTTTTTCTGGGATGTGGTCCGTAAGTGCGATGGGGGCAACATAGCAGGAGGGATGGTTCAGTTCAAACAAACATGAACGCGGATCTTCGGCAGCATGATCGGCCCACGAACCCAGAAAAAGGAATGTAGAATCGCGCGGCACGGCAACGTTTTCAGGACATTTGGTTGGGCGACGGGCAATCGAAATGCTGAGTGTATCGATCGTGATGCACCGTGCCAAGTGTTGTGCTGCGGTGTGCTGTGCTGAACTGAGGTCTGTCATGCCGTGATGAATTGCGTTGTGCTCTGTAGCGTTGTGTATCCAGCCGCCCATTGCATCCGAACCCTGACCGAACTGATCTATATCTTGAGCTCGAGCTGACGGAGCGCATAGCTGGCCCAGAGTTGGTTGCAGTCGAAACGCGCGGGACGTTCAATCAGCTCGAGCTCACGATCCGGCTCAGTTCCGAAGATGGACCAGACGACACGGGGTGCAGGGCGCATTCACGCGACACGGGATGTGCCAGGGCGCACTCGGGGATGCGACAAAGGACGAGTCAGGGGACGTGCCACGGGAAGCGCGGCATACGCCGTCCCGCTCTGGAGCGTTAGGAACCCATGTGCTGTCACGTTTGGCCTGGGCATGTACAACTGATGGTTCCAGTTCGGAACCACCATGTTGAATTTCCCGTTGGGTGGCTTGGACGCGTGAAAACCTGTAGTTCCAACTTGAGGCATCCATGTCAGATGCCGTCTTGGGTAGCCTGGACACGTAAACGCGTGGTTCCAGCTCGGGACCACCGTGTTAGATACCGCCCTGGGTGGCCTGGACATGTAAACACGTGGTTCCAGCTCGGGACCAACATGTTCGATTCCGCCCTGTGTGAACTGGACACGTAAGAACACTTGGTTGCAGCTCGGGAGAACCGTATTAGAGACCCCCGTCTGAGTGGCCAAGACATGTGGAAACATGTGGTTCAACTCGGGACCACCATGTTAGATACCCCCCTGGGTGGCCTGGGCATACGAAAACACAGGATTCCAGCTCGGGACCACCATGTCAGATACCCCTTCTTGGTGGCGTGGCCACGTGGGAAATCACATTGTTCCAGCTCGATGCAACCATCTTAGATACTCTCCCTGGGTGGCCTGGACATATCAAAACGCGTGGTTCCATCTAGGGACAACCATGTTAGAGACCCCCTTGGGCGACCCTAGCACGTGAAAACAAACATTTCGCTTGACAATGCTACGTGGCACCCCGCGAGGCCCCCGCTTCGACGAACAAACTAGTTGTGGGGCAAATCAATGTTGTGGTCGATCCCCTCCTCGAGTCACGGCCCCGGCCCCCTCGCCCGTCTCCGGGCGGGCGGTCCGCGGCCGCCGCCTGCCGCTGCCCAGGAGCGCCGCGAGCGTGCCGACCTGGAGCAGCAACTCGTGGCGATGAGGCCGCCGTGCTGTCGCTGCTGCTGTCGAAGAGGATGAGGATGAGGATGAGGATTAGGAGGAGAAGGGGGGGAGGAAGCGAAGGAGGAGGAGGAGGAGGAGGACGAGGAGGAGGAGAAGGCTGAGGATTAGGAGGATGAGGATGAGGATGAGGATGTGGACGAGGATGACACCGACGACGACAACGACGGCGACGATGATGCTGATGATGCTGATGATGCTGATGATGATGATGATGATGATTCTGGTGATGATGGTGAGGGTGATGATGCTAATGATGATGGTGATGATGACGATGATGATGCTGATGATGACGATGATGATGATGACGGTGATGGTGGTGATGATGATGGTGATGACGATGATGATGACGATGATGCTGATGACGACGATGTTGCTGGTGCTGGTGATGATGATGATGATGTTGATGATGATGTTGCTGCCGCTGCCGCTGCTGCTGATGATGACGATGATTATGATGATGATGATGATGATGATGATGATGATGATGATGATGATGATGATGATGATGATGATGATGCTGATGATGATGATGATGATGAGGATGATCATGAGGATGAGGATGAGGATTAGGAGGAGAAGGGGGGAGGAAGAGAAGGATGAGGAGGACGAGGACGAGGACGAGGAGGAGGAGGAGGAGGTGGAGGCAGAGGATTACGATGATGAGGATGAGGATGGGGACGAGGATGACACCGACGACGACAACGACGACGACGATGATGATGGTGATGATGCTGCTGCTGATGATGATGCTAATGATGATGATGATGATGATGATGATGATGATGATGATGATGATGATGATGATGATGATGATGATGAGTATGATGCTGATGATGATGATCATGATGATGATGCTGATGATGATGGTGATGATGGCGATGCTGATGCTGTTGGTGACGATGATGATGGTGGTGATGATGATGAGGATGATGATGATGACAATGCTGATGATAACGATGATGCTGATGACGACGATGTTGCTGGTGTTGGTGATGCTGATGTTGATGATGATGTTTCTGCCGCTGCTGCTGCTGCTGCCGCTGCTGCTGCTGCTGCTGATGATGATGATGACGATGATGATGATGATGATGATGATGATGATGATGATGATGATGATGATGATGATGATGATGATGATGATGATGATGATGATGATGGTAATGATGATGATTTGAGCACAGCTGTTACGATAATAGAAGGAACTGAACTGCAGCTTTATCGCACCGAACTCGCCGCGCGCTGCGCGCCGGGCGTGGCCGCGATTCTTGATGCATGGAGGGCCCGCGGCCAGAGCGCGGGCCGTCCACGAACTTGCCGCTGGATTCGATGCCTAGTCGGGGGCCAATCCCAGCGGCGAGGAGGCCGCGCCAGAGGCAGAGGAGGACCCAGACGGGACCCCTTGGGTCGTCATCCCAGACAGTTCCCATCGCGGGCCGCCCAGAGGGGTGGCAGGTGCCGCATTTGTGGTTCGGGCCGCCCCTGCTGCTGGCAGCCACCAGTACGCGATCTGGGCCGCCGTGGGTTCGAGCAAGGACCCCGTCGGGGTGCACAGAGGAGGGGCGATCGTGCGGCAGGCGATCGCCATCAGACTCGGAGGCGGCAGCTGCACTAGTGGGCGCGATCGCCTGCGTCGATTCCCGCCGTTGGGCGAGGCAATCGACGAGTTCCTCGACGAGCAGCGGTACCACTCATGCATTGTCTAGGTCTTCGATTGGACCAGGGCATAACGACGACGTTGCCATCGGGGGCGCTGCAGCAGACCGGGGAAGTCTTGCTCCACTCGTGGCTGCTCGAGCTGCCTATAGCTCGGGCCCGCGACGCCGGCGCGGCAGCGAGGTGCGAGGCCCGGGTCGTCGGCGGCAATTTCGCGCGGCTTGAAGACCCCGTCGCCGTCGGCGCCCTGATGCAGGACGGCCTCAGCGACCTCGAGTTGGGAGGGCCCCTCGTCGTGGTACCCGCCGTCTGCCTCCAATGCGACGCCGGCTTGCTCGCCTCCGTGGACTATGTCTCGGCGGCGCCGCGGTCGGCTCTGGGCGAGGAGATACGGCTTGAACATCGGGGCCCTGCTCCGACCCGTCGCGTTTCCCGACCCCGTCTCCCGGGGCGACCCGGGGCGCATCGGCTTCCAGCTTTCCGTCGACGGGCAGATCGCTGGGGAGAGGAGCCTCGCCGCGGACGAGCACCACGACGAGGGCACGCGACGCAACGAGGTCGACGCAGCCCGCGAGGCTGCGGCGCAGGAGCGGGCAGGTCGGCCGCGTGGCGCATGCGCGGCGGGCAGCCCAGAGAGGCCCCTGGCGGCTCTGGGGGGCCCGAGGTCCCGCCTGCCGGGCGCCCCCCCCCTCAGCGGGCGACGCCGTCGCTGGCCGCGCCCGCGGACAGGCCCGCGCCAGCCGCCCCTCTCGCGGCAGGGGGTCGCGCGGGACGCGCGGGGAGACAGTGGCCTGCAGCGAGAGGCGCTGAGAGAGCCGCAACCCCGCGGCGCGTCAGCGCGTCGCGCGGCGATCTGCAGAGCGCCCTCGGGAGCTCGAAACACGATGTGCCGGGGGCCATAGGTGGCCAGCTGCAGGGCCTCTCGCGCCGAATCGAGCAGGTCGAGAAGAGAAGCATGGAGGCCCGCTGTTACGCTCCTGCGGGCCTCCCCCCTGCCGTTTTGGGGTCGCGCCTCCAGGCGGGGCCTTCAGCGAGCGCGCTGGCACGTGCCCCTTCTGCCCCGAGCAGACCCCCCTTCAAGGGCTCGCCCGCGGCGCCGCCCAGGACGGCGGCCCATCTCCTGGCGGTGCGGCCCGCCCCTTCGCTTGCCCGGTCCAGGGCGGCAGAGGGGGCCCTGGCGGCGGCGCGGGTGCTGGTCCGGCGGGCAGACGGGCCGGCGGGCAGACGGGCTCCTTCCGCGCGAGCAGGGCGGCTGCGCTGCCCCAGAGAGGAGGGCCGACCTCGACCTTGGGGCCCTGGTCGAGGCGGGCGGCCGCGATGCAGACAAGGCCATCCAGCCTGCGATGGCGCGGGCGCTGGAGGCCCCGAGAAAGCGACGAAGGGCGAGCTCACCCTGGGATACCTCCTCTTCGGGGACGCAGCCTCGAGCTCCGGTGAGGCGCGGCGGGCCCAGGACCAGCGGCGCCAAAGGGGGCAGCGGGGCTCCTGGCGCTCAACGGGGCCACCGGGCGCGAACCGCAGAGGCGGTGCGCCCACGTCGACGCCGCGGTCTTCACCGAGTTTGGCTGCGACGCCGCAGGCACGCCGTGGGGCATGACGCTCTACGGCAGGCAGAGGATCATATTCGGGCGCTTCGAAGACCGCGGGTGCCTCTGGAAGATGCTTGTGTCCTTCCGCGCGCTGCGCAGGTCGCAGCAGCGCGACCTCTTCGGTGTTTGTCGGCCAGTTCCTGAAGGGCAGGCAGCAGTCAGTGAATGCGAGCGGCTCCTGGAGGCTGGCCCGGCTGATCACGCGGCTCCCAGACCCTCGACCAAGAGCGGGTCAGGCGGCGACAGGCTTCGCGCGCCCTGCGGAGTCGGTCCGAAACGTCACCACCGACGAAACCGACATCGCAGGCCACCGTTGATAGGATGATCTGCGAGATTGCTGCATCTGGTCTGCCGATCTCTTTCTGTGCCGCCCTCGAGGTGGGGGTCTCCAACTTCACCCCGACGGGGCATCTTGCCCCCGGCCTTGTCAAGAACTGCTCATGCCCTGGGCTTTCCCACGAGTGGCGCGAGAGCGGAACTGCGCCACGGTCGCCGCAAAGACGTGCACCGTGATTTCGGGAGAAACGTCGGCGACGCAAGGACAACGTGTCCGTCGCCTACCTCTCCTGGCTCTCGCTTGGGCGCCCCTCAGGCGTGTCGACAGCATCCTGTCTCGCCGCGCCCTTGACCGAGAGACAGTGGCAGCTGGTGCGCCAGCTCGATGACGAGTATTTGATTGTTGTTGCCGCGTCGAGGAGTCAATGCCGCTTCTGAGTGGCGGCGTCGCTGGCATCCATCTGGCCGAGATAGGGCTCATGGACAGTTCGTACTTGGGAGGCGGTGCGCAAACAGCCTCAGCATCCCGTCCAGCGGCGCGGCGCCTTTGCTCCAGGAGCCAGTCGTGCCGCCTGAGTACGGCTTCGTCGTCCGCGCGCCCCGCGTCTCTGACCTCGAGCCAAGCCGCCTTTCCAGTCAGCTGCCGCCTATGTGCATGCGTGTGGACCGGTCGGCCGCTGTGGCAGCACATGCATGGGATGCTCGGGTGCTGCGGTTCGCGCGCCCGGAAAGCCTCCAACTACATGCGGGCATCCCCGTCTGCGCTGGTCATTTCGTCTTGGAGAAGAAGGGCGACCACAGGCTGAGGGTGATCATTGACAGGCGCCGCCGCAATGCATTCGAGAAGTCTCTGGGAGAGGTCCTCCGAGAGTATGCTTTCGCCACGTAGCTCCCCAGCAGTCGGTGCGCCTACTTCCAGCGTTTCGCGACCCTGCCCCATGCCCCGCAGTTCACAGATCCGTTCCTTCCGTCTATCACCCCGCGTGCGTGCTCACCCTGAGCAAACTGAGCGAAGGAACACGGCTGGAAGAGGAGGCAGAGAAGGAATAGGATGGGGAGGAGGAGGACGAGGAGGAGGAGGAGGAGGAGGAGGAGGAGGAGGAGGAGGATAAGGATATCGAGGAGGAGGAGGAGGAGGAGGAGGAGGAGGAGGAGGAGGAGGAGGAGGAGGAGGAGAGGAGGAGGAGGGGAGGAGGAGGAGGAGGAGGAGGAGGAGGAGGAGAGTAGGATGTGGAGGAGGAGGAGGAGGAGGAGGAGGAGGAGGAATATGAGGAGTTGGTTTTCTGGTGTATTGGTTGACTGGTGCATGAAGGTGGAGGTCCCTGCAGCCGTCTTCGTTGGCCGAGGGGCTGCAGGGAGATCCTCGGCCCCCTCCGGTGGCAGCTGATGCCATCATGTATAGGTGCGGGGGGAACCCACGCAGCCCCTCTGATGGAAGCTGCGCGGGGTGTGAGGCCAAT